GGGAAAATAAATAACGTACGTATAAAGAGTGTCTGTTATACTCTGGTAAATCCTCGGTTTTGTTTTCGTCATTATCACAACACGAGACACGCACAAAGGCCCTGCGCACAATAGGTATACAAACACGGCCCGGAAGTAAACCGTACGCGGTTTCCTATAATAATTAAAAAGGCGTCCGCGGGTTCGTTTTATTGTTTTGAAAATATTAACAAACCGTGTACGCATTATATTTTAAAATCACGTTCGACGCGTGTAGTATAAAAAACAAAAAAGTGGATCCGACTGTATCCGACAAGGACTTCGTTCGAAAAAGACGAAATGCGAAATAATACAGCGAATACAGTGGTGTAGCCAGCGGGTAGGCCTGCTAGGCCAGGGCCCATCTACTTTTCTTCGAAAAAACCTTTATAAACCGCGGTTTCAATTTATATAAACACGCGAAAAAACCGACAAAATCCTCGACGCCTCTTAATATGGGCGAGGGTAAACTGCGCACGCCGAGCTGCCATTTAAATGATGTTCCACTACTCTCCCCCGACCCAAACTTAAAAGTGGAATATTTCGTCGACAGATTGACGGAAATCAAAAACTTCAACACCGAAATCCATTCTAACTTATACTCCATCTATTTGTGGAATGTTCTTCGTAGGCGCCCATTTGAAAATCAAAAGTAGTTATTCGTTTTGCCCACGAAAATAAGGATGACGAAAAAACGATAACGTAACATTTTAGAATTATTGTTTCTTAAATTTTCCAAAAAAAAAGCGCGTACATTCCGAGATAATGAGTGTCTTATGGATTGATTAATCGCCGTTTACGTACACGTGTTACACGACTGTATGTGCTTTTATTAAAAAAAATGTTTATTCCGTGTGAATATGTACGCGCAATATGCGAACTTTGGAAAAAACCTATTATTGTTTTGTACAAATAATTTTACACGCACCGACCGACGCGTTTTTTTTTTTTTTTTTAATGTATATATTAAAAAAATAATAATAATAATAACAAAATATAATGTATAATGACGGTGAATTCAACAATACGGAACGTAAATTATACGCGCTTACGAACAGTGTTTAACGATTCGATTAACGTAATATTATTATTGTTACAGCGCAACGTTATGCGTTCGATTGTTACTCATACGGCCGAACGTAATGAAACAACGTTATCGCGTCGTGTCTAGAAAATCGTTAAAAAAAAAAAAAAAAAAAAAAAAACAAAACGAAAAAATAATAATAATAATAATTATAATAGGCGAACCGACGAAAAACAAACATAATCAATTGTAGCGCGTAAAAAAAACGACTCCGGGCCGTGGAACAACGAAAAACACGAACAAACAAGAAAACGAATACAAACAGTATGGGTAATAATCCTCGTGATATTATTTTCGTTTCGTTGATATTATTATATTCGGATGATATTATAACACTGCGCGACACTCGCGCGGCGCCTATGATTATTGTTGCGAGTGGGTGTTGGATTGCAATCGCCGGGTTCGGGCGAACTCGATTGTTTTCAAAGGCGAATTGTTTTTCGTTCGACGTCCGCCAGCCGACCGGCGAACCCGCGACCCGCCCGTTGGCCGCTACGCGCACGGCGATTTCGCACTGGACTTTTGGTTTTTTTTTGTTTTTGAATTATCATTAACGCGCGCGGGTCCCTTTGGAAAGAAAAAAAAAATGTCAAACACGGCCGTGTTCTCGATCACGCCACCGGCAAGATTGATTTCCGAGGCATGCGAATATTACGTTTCCCGTTTCCGGAAACGCGGTCACCCCGTCGCGTGATCGTAGTGCGAAATCGCACTGAACGCCGTGACGTCATAAACGGGACGATTCCCCCCGAACGCGTGACGTTTGCTCATTTTCGCCGGCCAGACGAATGGAATCTAGCGGAGCGCTATAGGACTTCGCGTCGCGTTACCGCGAGGGAATATGCGAAATTGAAAAAATTGATTTTTTTTTTTTTTTTACGCGAACAGCTTTTCTACCAGAAATTTCGCTCCGATTTCGCGGGAGGCCGGTGATTTCGTTGTATTCTTTAAACACGTGAGTCGATGCAATCACAGCGTGGGGATCGGGATTGAAATTTACGTTCAACCTATGGCTGCCACGCATTTTTACGGCCACATTTTACCGCTTTTTTTTTTTTTTTAATTTCTTTTCGCAACCTATAGCCGTCCAGTATATCGTCGTAGAACAACGGCAATTATAGTAAATAACACTTTACGATCCCGGTGTTCGTATTGTGTTCACAACGGATAATTCCGTGTTAAAATATCGGCGGGTGAGGGACGGAGTCCGTCCGCCGCTCGTTTCTCGACGTATGAGAAAAAAAAAACCGCAAAAAATACACACACACACACGGCACGCACAACAATTAATAATATACACGCGCATAAAATTATTGTTGCCGGGCGCGCGCGACGTGGAAGTAGGTGAACGGTACACTATAATATGTAAAGGAAAACAACTCGGCTGACGCAACGTTTCGTTTCTATTTCAACGCGGAGAGAAGACGCGGCGGCGTTGACGGCGGTAATTTTTTTTTAACGTACATAATAATAATATTTTACGTAGAACCGTGCGCGCGAGCAAGGACGATTAGAAGAAAACGAAAAAAAAAAAAAAATACCGAAAATAATGTAATACAACAACGATAGTATGATAGTATTATTGTTCAACTGTATCCGTCGTGTTACACAAATTGTTTGTATAGTATTTTGGATATTTCACGGTGTTGTCGGTGTTGGCGGTTCGGTTTTGGCGGACCGGTGTAAATGCGGTTATTACGCGACGCGAGCGTGTACAAACCGAAAAAACGAAAAAAAAAAACGATTCGAATCAAACGGATCAGACCCGGCGAGTGAACGGAAATCGCGCGCGCGTTCGCGACAGCAGACGGCGCGAACGGCGTTGATTTTTCACGCCGCCGTCCCGCCGCGCGGTCCGGCCGTTTTCGACAGCGCCCGCGCGCGGAGATCGGGGGAGAAGGGCCGGCGAGGGGCGGTGTTCGGGGGGCGGAAAACGGACGCGGTCAGTCGCCCCCGCTGGCGTCGCGTCGGTTCCGGTCCCGGCGCACCGGTGCCCGTCTGAACGCGTCAACAAACGTCGCTCGCCGGACGGGCCTAGCGAGGCCCCGAGACGTGTACCGGGGTGGCGCGCCGCGTGGAACCGTCGCGTATCACGGGTTGTTGCGGTTTGCTACGTCGACGCCCGCATCGTCCGGTATCGCCGCCGATGACGGCGTTGCGATGTTTTCGTGACAAGAATCGCGCTGGATTTTCCGTGAAAAAAAAAAAAAAAAAAAAAACGATCCGTTTCGCCTCGGTCACAGTCCCGTTGCATTACCGTCGAATACAATACCGCACGGTTACGTACAGGGCGATCCGTCGGCTATTACGCTCGCCTCATTTTTATCGTTGTATTTTTTTTTTATTTTTTTTTTTTTCTGTATATTTCATTTTTCAAGTGCGGTTTAAAGGTCAGCTGATAGCTACGAATACTCAGACTTTTCGCCGTCATTCGAGTAGTGGCCAACGGCGATACCGACTATGGTTTTTCGAAAACGGCGCACCGCGGACTTCGCATACGAAAACACACGGAGGCTGGAATACGTTTTTATTTTCCATTCCGTACCGATTAGTTTATTTTTTTTTTTTTTTTTTTAATCGGCCACGATTATAATAACATTGCGAATGCATAATATATGTACACGCTCGTTTATAATAATATAGCTTCGGGCCAGATAAAATATTATTTGTATGGCTTATACGTTGTTCTCTAATTTATATTCGAGACCCTCGGACGGCTTTCACCTTGAAACCAACAACAACAACAACAAAAATAAAAATTCAAATCGAAACATAAAAAAAAATTGGCCCATTGGAAATATGCCATCGATAAAACTACTGCCGCCGCTGCCGCTGCCGTAACAGGTATACGGCATGTACGTGCGTATTAATTTGAGATTATTATATTTTGTATTCGAATACGGCGGTCCGGCAAATGGTTTCGCGATTTACGAGTTTGGACGAGATTGTTGTTGTTATTATTATTATTATTATTATTATTTCGATCGATTAAATTGTTGAACGCGTATTAGATTATTATTATATAACGCGGTTTTTTTTTTTTTTTTTTGTTTTTTTCAATCTTCGGCACATCACGCCCGCAAACCAAAAGCACTGCGGGTAAAATTAATAAACACGCATTAAATCTATGCGTGCGTGGCGGTCTATTTAAAAAAAAATAAACGAGAATTATCATAGTCGTTATGATTATTTTTATTGAAATACGTTTCTATGTTTCACGCGTATAAACATATGTAGAGTGAATTCGAATAGACGTGTCGTAAATTATGCATGCGTGCGGTTCTCTTGTGCGCTCACAGTGTAGTGTTTGCTCTGGACCGGTGTATTTGCATCGTTTGTTATTATCCATAGAGAAATAGGAAATTGGTTATATCTGAAACGAATAATCCCGTACACATGCCAGATTACTCCGTTCGAATCGCATTAGTACATTTATTGCGGAAATTAACAGGCGCGCTGTTAATATTGATGCGGTTCATAAATGCATAGACACTCGCGACTTTTTTGTAATTTAAACGTGTACCATGTATCCGCGGGCGCATTTGGCCGTACGACAGACGGGCAGTGTAAACGGTCTTCCGGTTTTACATACGGATAAATATCAAACTCGTGTGATCATGTAAATCGTCCGTGGCCAATGATAGCTTGTATATATAATACAGACTCCTTTACTCCCGCCACGAGCGTGCGGCACAGTACGCGGGGCGCGTGTGCGGTCCAGAATATTAATAATTATAAATATCACGTGTAAAACTGACGAAATAGAACAAACACCAATAACAATTGAACGTGTACGCCGCGATCTTTTGTCGTCGTGTAATAGACAATTATCCCCCTTATCATGTGTATATTCAGATACGTTGAAAACGTCTGCGCCCGCAATATCGCGGTGCGATAGATGCCGCTGTCGCACGAGACGACGGGCGTCACAGAAACCAGCGATGTCGATGCTACAGCTGTCGGACGCTCCGTTGGCGAGCAATTCAAACGGTCCCGGAACATTTCGACCGGACCTCGTATGTTATTGTGTGCAGCGGGTGTTGGAATATGCGCGGTGGGGGAGGGGGGGGAGGGGAACCGTCCGACGAGTGTTTTTGTACGATAAAATATGTAATTTTCAAAGAGTTTTCGTCGTAACCAGGAAGAGATGCACCGACGACGTTCGATCCGTCTTCGGGATAACGGTCGTGGTTTCACGGTCGCAGCATCAACGTCACGTGTACAATAACACACATACACTCTATTTCTACGTGTTGTATATTGAACAATGATTCAGTGGCGTGACACGTATTTCTTTCTTTTTTTTTTTTTTTTAGAACGTAATTCTTATACGACGGTTCTCGATTGAGTGTATATAATATTATTATTATTATTAAAGACACATGTATGTGTACATTTGACAGGATACGACGACTGCCAGATATCGGGCGTTTATTATTATTTTTTTTTTTCTTTTCCTTTTCGGTTTTCGAATCGTGCAGCGTATAGTGTGCTGTGCGCAGTGCACACTTTTAAACGCAATGTGTTTTACATTATTATATTCGACGACTTAGCCGCGATTTCGTGACGATTCGTTTTAAAAACGATCGCGGCGGCATTATAATTCGACTCCCCACATGTTTTGACTTACATATATTTTTTTTTTCGCGAATTTATTATTATTGTTGAGCGTCTAGGAAGATACAGTTTAAATTAATAACAGTAGTCGGAAACTAATAAAAGGTTTAGACGGCAGTAATATCACCGCTCTACCCGAAATTCGCGATTTTTTTTTTTTACGAATTATACACGTAACGCATACAGTTGCATAATTTGTATTGCAATTATACACACGTTTCCCCGCGGTTTTAAATATACGTGTTAGACGTATGCACGTCACCTATATATTGAGTAATTCGCTATGCCGAAAACCTGTTCGGTAATTGCTATAATCGTCTCCCTCCTCCACTCCGAATATGAACTCTAGTCACGCCGACCGACAGTACCTATATGCGTATGCTCCGCGATAATTTAACGCGGTAAAAAAAAAAAAAGTCTTAGAAAATCGACAATTTTTCGTAAACGAGAATAGAATTAACGTAGATGTCTAATGGAAAACAATATTTTATAGCCGAGACTCCGTGAGGTTAAATCTAAAGTTGCGGCGACCCCAACGGCATACGGCGAGTAGGCGAATTTTATACTGGCCGTACCCCGCGCAATATCGGCGGTTTGTGCAGTGGATTTCACCGGTAAACCGATCAAATTCGGGCTCTCGATACTATACAATGACAATATTTGCGCGGGCCGCCAAACTTCAGATTCGCTCGTAATAATTACAATTACAACCACAACACGTGTATGGTTCTGATTATGCACCGGTAGTTCAATCAACCACAAGCTATTTGTGATTGTCCGGGACCAAAATTTATTGACGACGCGGCGCACACTCGTGTTGTCGACGGTTAACACGTGACAACGAAATCACAATATCGGAACCACAGTCCGCGAACATGTCTAATTTATTACCGTACGCGTGTCTGCGATTGAAATTTAGTAGTACCGGGACCGACAGAATTATAAGGAGAATAAAATCGTAGAAACAATATGTCTGGAGAGGGGAGCCTGGACCCCCAGGATTCGTCCCATAGATCCGGACCCGCCTGAACGGTGTGTACGCGGACGTAAATTTGAAAAACCGAAAACGTCGAAAATTACCGTTCGGGGTTACGAAGGCTCCGAACAAAGAACACGATAATTAAATTAGAAATAATAGCGTATCTGTACGATACGTATATGCTGTTTAGTTGATTAAGTTAAAAATACGCGTAGGTAAACCGTATAACATTACACGTTGAGTATAGCTAATAATAGAGACCATATAATATTACAATTGTATTGTATCGTAGGTGTAACGCTGGTGTTTTTTCGGTTTTGCTCCGTTGCACCTGCGGTAGTGCGGTATAACGCAGACTAAAAAACGGAACATGCGTGATATTGATATCTATCGTTACAGTATCTATTTTCAACGGAGCTACACCGCTGGCGGTGGCACAGGTGATTTTTAACAAATATCATAACAGCACTGGCTTCGGAAAACTCTCCGAGCACCACTGCTTGTACCCGATACTATATTAATCCTGTTACCTGTATGTTAAACGTGATTATTATTTTTTTGAACCGTAGGTATTTTCGTCCGTCCGCTACGGAAATTATTTTTTTTTATTTTTTTATTTTTTTTTCCAATAATGAAAAACGAAGATATTAAAATCGGAACTTTCGCATCTATGCTATCGTCTGTTTATATAAATACACGAATATACACTAAATACGTTGTTATAATACGAACAATTAGTAGATACCTAAAACTTAACGTCGAAAGTGTTTGGGTTTTGAGATTAAGTCCGCGGAACGCTGGACGTACGTAACAACGATAATAATATATAAGCAATTGTATACTCTCTAGTATAGAAACTATAAAGGATTTTTGGAAATTCGACCATCGATGACCGGCCCTCGCATTTAAATTGTATTCCTTAAAATACGGAAATTAGCGATTTAGTTTTTTTGTTTACTTTTGGATCACATTATTCATGCGTACGCGAAAACAACTGTACTACTTTCATTTTGTCTTATTTTTTAATCTGAGTGTCGTTAAACAATCAGCGGGCATACGACTTGTCACTGGCAAGGCCGATGCCTTCACACCTTACACATTTAAGCAAACACCTTTGCATAGAGTTTTCTGTACAGAAAATTCGATCTGTATTTTCCGGAGTATACGTTGAAAATACCTGCTCGATTTGCGTCTTTACTAATTATATTTATTATAATATATTTGGTGTGTGTTGGACATTATTGTAATACCTATTAGATTTATGAGTATTAAATTTAATTACAGAGACGCTTGGCATTTGATAGTTAAGGATGTGTACACCACGTTTAAAGATGAGGATCCGGTCGACGAAGAACCTGATTTAGTGGTTTATTTCAGTGATCAATCTGGTGATCAAATTTCGTGCTCCATGACGGCTTACCTGGTTTCACAGTCGTTCCCCCTTTGCCACTTTCCATTTCCACAGGGAGGAGAAAATACCGCCCAGGAACTCGGTAAATATACATTAAAAAAATTCAAATATACACCTAACTCCTNAAGTTGTTGATTTGACAATAAAAAGAGTACAACCCGTCGAAAATAGCATAAACTATTTGCAGTTTGTTTTTTTTGATTAGAATTTGGGAAAGGGAATATTATCAATATTTGTTGTAAGTATTTAATTTTGATTTGAGTGTTTATATTTTTCATGTTATGTTGCAATTAAACTTATTTTCACTAATTTTGATCAATATTTATTAATTCATCTTAAAAAAAAAAAAAATAAATAAATAAAATGTATGTTACAATGAGACCATAAAGTAATGTAATTTAAACAAAATGAAATTGTTTTAATATTTTGCAGGAAATGTTTGAGTATGTTGATTTTCTTATTCTTGATCAGTTGGATTGTTTGCATTATCGTATTGACGATTCGGAATTGGAGATTGTTGCTATACTTAATGGGGAATTAATAGTCTTCGAAATGAGACTGTAAGTGGTTTTCCAAGGTTTTAGTATAAATAATTACACTTATTAGTTAAATTGTACAATATGCCTTTTTTTTTTTTTAAATTCAATAGAATCGTTTGTGAAGTGATAATAAAGAACGAGTGCACCACGGGCAAAAATGAGGAACCGGATGTCGAAGAACCCGAGTCGGTAGATTCTTCCGGTAATCAGTCTTGTGTTCAAGTTTCGAGTTCTTTGACGGCTGACCGCATTCCGCCGTCATTTCCTATTTACGTATCGTTTTCACAGTAGAGCGATAATACTTTACAAAGTATCGGTAAATATACATACAAATAGACATCTGTATAAAAACTATAACAAATACCCACCTGCCTCCTAATAAATTAGTGTTGATTTGATGTAGATCCGGATGGCGAAGAACCCGAGTCAACGGATTTTTCCGATAATCTGGGTTGTGATCAAGCTTCAAGTTCTTCGACGGCTGACCTCACTTCACCGTCTTTCCCACTTTACGTTTGGCCTTCAGAGACAGGAGATAATGCCGCCCAAATTATCGGTACATATATATTCTGGGATAGACTTCTGCATAAAAACATGACAAAAACCTAGCTGCCTCTTAATAAATTATTGTTGATTTGATATAGACGAATCCTGCATGGAGGCAATAATTCGAGTGGTCAATTTGACAATAAGGAGGGTCCAACCCGTGGAAAAAGTTTTAAAATATTTTCAGTTTATTTTATTTGATTTGAATATGAGAGAGGTAATATCGATATTCGTTGTATGTATTTATTTTTTTCATCTTGTTACAATTATTTTTATTTCCACTATTTATTTATTACCGATATTTAATAATTTATCATGAAGAAAAATATAATGTATTCGTTATGATGTGATCATAGTTCTGTAATCTAAAAAAGTATATTATTTTAATATTTCGCAGCAAATGTATAGGCGTATGTATTGTCACTCACATGATCAGTTGGTTTGGTGGTACCATCGTAAAGGCGATTCGGAATTGGAGATTGTCGGTAAACTCTATGGAGGGTTTATTGTCCAAGGAATGAGACTGTAAGTGGTTTTCTAAAGTTTCAGTATGAATAATTACACTTATAAGTTAAATTACATAATATGTGATTTTTTAGTATTTTACCGGACGATTGGAAGCCGAGTGCTCGAATGGTTTTAAACCATTTGGAGAATTATGATCTTCAATATTTAAACTTCGCCCGATCAGCATTCACACAATTAAACAAAGATATACCACAGGAATGTTTACATCTAATCAAGGTGTGTTAAAAAAAAAAAATAAAAATATTGTTATTGTATTATTTTATACTTATAAATTTACTTAGAATAATTAATCGAGTCAATATTCGATTCACAGATTAAACAATATAGCAAATAATAATATAGTAGGCAATGGAATAGCCAATAAGTATCGCAGATTATCATTTTTTTTTTTTTATCAGAAACCCGAGGTAATTACAAAACTCAGATACGATTTACTTAACGATCACTACCGCCATATTATGTTCTTAAAATATGGTGGTAGGTAACACGTGAATAGTGGACGAAAACTGAGATTTTTGTACGGCGAAATGTGTCTCGTGATAATTTCATACTAATATATTATACTTTGCTACTGCAAAATGTGCATCTCGGGTGACTGTAGGCGTTGGTTCTGGTTAATTTTTACGATATTATATATACCAAACATACCGTAGGTATAGGTAGCTAACAATAAGTAATAAAATGTCAAAAATAAAATAATTTGTCAATAAATAAACAACTCTTTTTGTGTTAGTGAAACTATACAAATTGTCTCGCAAAAGATATTATTATAACCAAACGTACCTGCTTATATTTTCAGGAAATCATGGATATGCCACGGATAAACACCATACGCAAAAGAATGCCTACTGGCCTGCCGTCCTTTGCTTATAGCTATAAGTATCTGTGAAATGACGTTTATACGTTATTTTCCCTTAAATCATGTGTTCATTTGACTACTTTGTTTGTTACATTTTCTTTATATTTTTTTACCACAGTTGAAACGAAGATTGAAATCATGAGTACCTTTATTGTGTTATTTTTTTTTATTATTGTTTTTGTATATATTAATTAATTTGTTACCTTATGCTTTTGTTCCTTAACCTTGTTAAATATCTGAATTAAATTTCTATTCGTACATTGAATTTCACAAATGTTTTGATCGATTCAAATATTAACATAATGTTAAAAAGTAGGATTCATGAAGCAACAATGTAACTGTTACATAATATCGTCGTCGACGTGAAAAAACTTCAATTTTCAAAAAACACGAAAAACGTTTTAAAAATAAAACCAAAAACTTCCATTGTTGACCATAATAAATTGTAACCATAAAACTCTTTGTTCTGAAAAAAATTGAATTAAAAACTTAATATTTATAGGTAATATTATATTCCGTAAATTGTCAATATTTAATCATATACAAGAGGTATTGGTTAGGTAGTTAAAATTTTTTATTAAAATCATATAGGAAGTTGTTCAACGTCACACAGGAGGTTTCCAATGTTACTTGGAGGTATTTCGCAAACAATTCAGTGTTACACATGAGTTATTTTGTTTCGTATTTTTCATTAATTCTTTCATAAAGATTGCACATATAGGAGATATTTTAATATGGTAGAATCTGTTTGAAATATAGCAATATCGGGATCTATAGAAATATAAATATAAATTTGATAAATAATATGTCTTGGGAGGGGCCTGTGTCTCTCGCCCTCCCCCCCCATTTGGATCCTATCCTGCATAACGTAGGTTAAATGTTTGGAATTTGTCGGTTTGTTTATGTGTCTATAGTATTATTGTAGCCACCTGTACTACCTGAGCGCTTGTTAGTTCACCCATAGAGTTATCGTATATGGATATTATTTATAATGTCGACCGTCGAATACTCACTGAACAAATTGTTTAAATTTCGAAATGTCCAAAATTGTGTGGTAATAGGGGAAAAAAAACTAATTTTTCGTAATTTAAAAAACAAAAAAAAAATTAAATTAAAAATGACGAAATAATCATTTGTACGACTATACGGGATGTGGTTCGCAAATATGACGCGTGCGTACCGTGCGTTTTAATCTCGTATACAAAAACCGCGGTCCGTCAGTCTCTCTGTCGATTTACGAGACGGCGACCGAATAAAATATCCACCGTTTTCCGACGTACGACGGGCGTACTATTGATATTTTATTGTATCGAAGAGATTTATTATACGTTATTGTACCGATTGATGTAATGATATTTTTTTTTTTTTTTATTATTAGTTTGCTCCCCCCCCTACCTCTCGCCCCCATAAAACGACTCGTAAATCACGGGTCTTATTGCGCGATAACAGTATTAAAATAATATCGAACTCTGCATTTTCGTATATGTACGTTAATGTATTAAATCCGTTGCATAATATTATTATGTGTACGAGTGTACGTTTTTAAATGTTTTTATAATGCAGCGAACGCTGAAAATGGATTTCAAAAATGTATATCGCTGTTTTCATTATTATTATTATTATTATTATTATTATTGTGATGATAAAAGAGATTAGGTACGCGCGTATACGTATACAATGCGATTTCTAAGCGAACTCGCGGATGTCTCATTATTCATCGAAGACATTATATATTATAAAAACGAAAAGAAAAAAAAAAAAAATGATTAAAAACGCGTTTTAATCGGAAACACGAGAGCAGCAATCAATTATATTGTTATATACATCAAACGCGTTATTAATGGATTTCTCTATGTTATTTATGGCGTGTTTACGACGATATTATTTTATACCGTTTTCCATTATATGAAACACGAGCGCCTACTTACACATAATCGAATAAAAATATATAATAAATAATGTCGTAAAAAACTCGCGGCGGTTTTGCATAGGTATGTGTTTTTTTTTTTAAGACATTTTTACCATAAAAACAACGACCGAAAAAAAAAAACTGTCCGATCGACCTACAACGGTTTTGTTCGCGTGTCAACCGGTTCGGTAATATTGCCGGCACACTTAAAATATGCATAACCCCGCGTTGTGAGCTACGCATCTGTTCGTATTCCGCGTTTCGCACGATTTTCATTCGAAAAATGTAATTAGTATAACGACGTTATTGCGTCTGTTAACGAAATAGAAATGTTTTGTAAATTTCAAATTCGAACTCGTCAACGGAACACTGCAGCAATCGTAGCTGATACAGTTACCGGTTTTTGAATTGCGCGAGTTGTCGGTTATTAACGGTGGCGCCGAAGCAGTTCAAAAAAAAAAAAAAACCCCCGGGCAAACGAGGCGATACTGGTGTTATATTGGTCTTCGTCGGATGTCATATATATATATTTTATCAATCATAGAAACCGTTTGTTATACAGCTATGTTTTCAACAAGTACCATACTCACGCTATGCATATTTCCCATCACTCGCACCGCCCGCCTACGCGCCGCCAGAGAATTCGGCGGCACCGTTCAACGGCGATGCGTAATATTACATCAGCGATGATACGATCTGGTAATCTTAAAACGGACGAAAAAATGCGCTAATATAGATAGAAAAAAAAAAAAAGAAGAAAAGACTGACGTTATTAGATACCGAGCGTACCAATAGCGAATACTGAAAGCTAATAATATAGCGAAAATTCTCCGAATTGTCCTCGTCGGACCGACGGAAAAACAGATCGGGTATTTTTCGCCCGGTGGCACTATATTTGAAAGAAAAAAAAATGTCTAGATTCTCGACATTATTTCTAAATAAACTTAAAAAAAAAAAAAAAAACAACAAATACAACGGTTTTATTCGCGCGTTATCACTGGACGACCATTGAAATGGCTCCTAGAACGATTATTTTCAACAAGTGTATATCTCAAAATAGAAAAATAGAAACAAGTACTTATATGCGAAATTAATGTTTTTAGCAACACAGGTTCGGATTACTACTGAAAATTGTCTAATCGTCGTTAAGCCGATAACGCGTTCAACGGTCACGGTTTAACCATATTAGATATTATTTTTTTTTATTGAGTTATTGAGTATGCTTAAAATTAATTGGATCTGATGTTATCGTGCAATACGGTTTAATTACAGTTTGTCGTTTGCGTTCGTACATCAATAGTTTTAACTATTGACTGCTCCGGTCGAAAAAAAACCAAAAGTGAAAAAACAAAATCGATTCATGCGAATATTTTCGTTCTAAATTCAATTCTCAGTTTTATTCACCGCGCCCATATATTTACAATGTATTGCATTACGGTATTCAAGATGATACCGAAACCATTATAAGAAGTTGGCTTAATATCCGGATTTTAACATATGCGTTACGCGATACAGCACCGGCTAACAAATTTAAGCCAATATATTTAACAATAATGTTTATTTATTTTAATTGAACTACATATTGTTGATATTTTCATTCAATATTGAATTGTATGGACCAATGTTTACATTTTAAATTATTTATTATTTTTTTTACTTATTTATTGTGTTGAATTTTGATAACAAATTTATCTATGAAATACATGTCGGGGGAGCCAATTCAATAGGTAAAAATACGGACTGCCTAAGTTTGGGAACCAATTAAATAACCCCGAACCTCGGCTAATCAATCAAGCAGCGTACGAAAGCTCGACTGATACTATTATACGGGACAACTTGGAAAACCTTTGGCTTCCGAATTTCACGTTACAGACAAATATTCGTACGAATCGCTGCTTTTTTTTTTCAAATCATTCGCGTAAAAAAGCTTTTTTGGATTAAATATTCTAAAAATGTTACATTCGTCATCATTTTTCCTACTTCGTTTAAGGTTTAGATAATGAATCCACTCACCACTTTTGATTTTAAAATAGCAACGTAGTACGCGGCGTTCGAGTGGTGCTCTATTTAAGACATTCAAGAGAGAAACACCGAGATTAATTTTAAACTAATATTTTGTCTGTTTATGGAATTTTCAATACAGGCTCTCATTTGAAAATCAAAGGCAGTTAGCGACGGTTTCACTTATACAATTTAAAAATACCCGTGAAAAAATAAGGACAATTATACGTTGTCCTTTTGTAATAGACATGTATATATATATGTGTGTACGATTTCAAAATGTTTTACACAATTCGTATTTGAAAAATAAGTATTATTTCTTGGTTGAATTTGACTGTAACACGTGAAATATGGAAGACCCAGCAGTAAATAACCATTATAATATACCAGCTGTTCCCGAGCAGCTCTGATCAAAATCGTTTGCAATGATTTATCGTCTGTATTTCCGTACAGCCGTATATTATTTTTCAGCTATACAAATGACCCCACGTCCTACACAATAACACTGTCCCAACTTCTCACCAACTACCGTAGTTGCCCACCCACGGTGCGAAGTATGATGATTTTTTTTTTTTTTTGTATGGCATTACCAATAATAATAATAATAATATATTGATCGCAATAACGTTTATACATAATCGTTAAACATAATGACACTTTCATTAGGGCCTGTTGTTAACAAAACTAAAATAAAATTGTTGTTTTTGTTGTTGTTGTTGCCCAATTATAATAACGTATATTGGCGTCATACGAGTGGAAAAAAAAAAAAACATGTTTATCCGTACGTAATCAGTGGCGATTTCAACCCACCGAAAAATAATATTTCCCCGCGCCGCCGCGTGTTATCGCAGTGCGTGTCGTGCGCAATACCGTCATACATTTGTTTCGAATTGTATACGTTGTGCTGTTATAAGCTATAGCGCCGGCCGCACAGTGTTTAGTCGTAACGCGGCGAGCATGGTGACGACGAATAAACAAAAAAA